ATATAAAGAATTTTCCTTCAGGAACAGGTAATATATTACAAATCATTCAATTAATTTGCTGAGCATTTTCTCTAAAGCCAACAATATTAGTAGTATTGAGAAGTGTATCGATTGCTGAACGTGATAAAAATTCAGAATGTTTTTGATTGAGCATCTGCTATGTTTCAGCAGATATATTACCCATCCGAACTTCTTGTAATATTTGATAGAATCTGTTATCAGATTGTTGATGTTGTGGAGTCGTTAATAATAAGGGATAGAATAAAGTCCAGGTCATTGAACGAAATACAGGTTGATCTGTAATAGGTGGTAATTGAGCAAGGTCACCTACTACAATTACATTTATTCCACCAAATGGAATAGCATTATTGTTGAGATTAGCAAAAAGATTAGATATAAAATCAAAGAACTGTGCTGAAACCATTGAAATTTCTTCGATGATGATAGTATCAATTGTTTTTAATGATTCATTTAATTCTTTATCAATATATGCACATATACGAAAGTTATCATAATTTGAAATAATCTGCAATGCAGAATGGATAGTTCTTCCTCCTACATTTTGAGCGGCAACACCAGTAGGAGCCAGGAGAAGATATTTAGATTTTTTCTGTTTAAGAGTGTTTATTAGCAGGTTTATGATATATGATTTACCCGTTCCTGCAGAACCTGTAATAAAATAATATGGCCATTTGATACCATTATTTGGGCTGAGATATGAAGAAATTGTTGATAAGACATAATACTGATCTTCTGGTAGATCATGTATAACAGTTTCAGGTAATAAGTGAGGAAACATCTTGATATTTTCCAATTGTAATCTTATAATATTCTGAATTGTTGTTGGGAGTTCTTGATGTAATGATTGTAGCAATCTTCTAGCATTTCGGCAAATTAATTATTAAGATAAGTGATATGTGAGTGATGGTTATTTGTGGTTTAGATCTGTAAGGTCGTCAAGAAATCAGGAAATAATGACAAAAATTTTTGTCAGTATGTTCTATTAGGTCCTATTCTATAATCAGATTCATCTCTTGTAGATATGGTAAGAAGAAATTTCTGATAGAAGTATAATTCAGCATCTTGAAGTTTAAGAAAACGATATCTCACTATTATTTCTTTAGATTGATTTACAACATAATTATTCAATTGATCATAGTAAATCGATCAATTAGTTAAAGGTCTTGAAGGAGAGATCAAATATCTTTCAAAATATTGAGGATAGGTAAGTGGATCAAATTCAGGAGAGATAGGTCGTATCATATATTTGGTTATAGTATCATCATAAAAAGGGTTTTCATCTTCTTCATGTATTAAATAGATAGGAAGCACTAGACGAGATCTTGTATTAGGAGGTTCAGTGGTGAGGAATTTTACAGTACTTGATGAATTACAGATTTGATGACCTAAAATTCCAATAGAGCTGAGCCTTCGTGTGATCACATGTTCTTTTAATGTGTCTCCATCTTATATGCTAAATACATGAGAAGGTTCTCTTTTAACGATATATTTTACTATATATCGAGTGAACCCACTATCAGTTATATACTGAATATTCATGTGAGCATCCCATAATAAGAGAATAGCAGGATGATAAGGGACTACCCATGAATCTGCATCAGTTAAACATTTATAAATATAATGGGAGGCTCCTTTTTGATAATAAGTTGTTTGACTGTAAGGACGCAGAAAACCTTTTTTACATGTCTGACCTTGTAAGGCAAGACCTTGACATCTATGATTGCAAGTATGTATTTGATTATCTATCACAGAAGCATATAATTCAAGCTCATATAGAGGATCAGGTATTATTGAGCAGATGACATCATTTGCAATCATATCTGAAATAGAATTATCAGTTCAATAACAGCTATGAGTATGTGCTGCACCCCTATTTTGAAATTCAACTCAATCAAAAAAGTCTGTGATCTTGTCAAATCCTGTAAGTTCAGGTTTTTTATACAATTCCTTTTTTAGAGATTGAAATCTGTGAACAAAATAATTTGCACAATAATAAGGTCTATTTGTTGGTAATGGATCATTGTTATCTGTATTAATGAATATATTATGAAGATGAGTCCAACGTTTTCAGTCATGGTCAAAGTTATTAATAATAATGGTAGACCAAAGTTTTTTAGCATTATGTTAAGGTGAAGTTGTTTGTGATAAAAGTAAGTATTTCCTGTGCATTTAAAAGTAGGCAGGGGAATCGTTTTAGTTTCATCTAATCTCAGATATTTATTATATTCACTAGATTGAAGTAATTGCCTTGCGGTAGGAAGATTGTTTATATTAGGATTGATATTATTTTGTCTTAAAAATCATTGAGTATTTTGATGATGTCTCAATTTCTCTAATTGTAGGTATGACCAAGAAGGCCAGTGATGATAAAGCCTCTATTGTGGATCATAATTCATTAATTGTTGTCTGATATATTTACCATAAGTTTCTTCTCTCATATCATCATCTGTGATGTCTGATTGATCTAATATATCATAAAAGTGACCTTTTCCATCTGTAAATAGATCAGGAAAAATTAATGGTTCTAGATTAGGATCATATGTAGCAATAGGAATATGTAATATATCACTTTCACAGATGAATTCTGCCATTAATCTAGAATAATGGAAGTCTTCATTGTGAACTTCATCTGGAAAGTTCAAATTGGGAACTATGATATCCTGAGTGTTTACAGGTGGAATATTAAGATCAGTAAGAAGATGTGTTACCCTTAGAAATGATTGATTTCTTGCTATATTTTGTTTATCGCGTGATATTAATATGCTAGCATAAGGTTGAAGGTATGGATTATTATTCGCTAATCAAGCTGCAGCGTGTTTTAGAATTTGATCATGAATCAGATCATCATCTAGATGTCTTAAGGCAGTTGATTGATTAATATCGTCTGGTTGATCTATGAATGCGCCTAAGATTTCAGAATATAATACATGCGCTCTAATTTTATGAGAGTAATTTATTGATCCAGTCAAGCATCTATATTCTGAGAAGTGGTTGCTATTTGGAGTTCTTCCTAACGAACAGTGTAAATAAACTGGTAAGAGATGCTTTCTTTTATATAAGGGAACTGAGAGGATTTCTTGTGGTATAGGGGATAAATAAGGGAACGTGAACCTTGTAATAGGCTTCTTACATAATTTGCAGGTAGGTATTCTTAATTCAGGAATGCAATTGGTATTTGGATTGAATGATAAGGTAATGTTTGAAATGTGTTATTGTAATGAGTAGGTGATAGATGGGTTATAAAAGATCCATAAAGCATTTTTTAGATATAGGAGCCTTTGCAATAAACGCAAGCGATCTGAGGATATTGTTCCAAGATGGTATTTTGAAATCTGTTATAGAGTCTTTACAGCATAGTCGATGATCTCCAATATGTGATGATTGCATTTGAATGCTGAGGATGGTTAGCGTGATATGGGCTGAAGTGGATCTAGGTAAAAGGATGTTAGGATTACTTAGTGTGATAGATGCGATGTTCATTATGGTCCAATCGAGTGTCATTTCATATTCGTTATCGAAGGTGTAAATTAGTTGATTTGATAGGATATAATGAAGGGATTTGAAATAAAAAAAAGGTAATTTTTTAATTAATAAAGTATTTTTTTTTACTTACAATAAAAAATAATAAGAACGTAACAGAAAGGGATCGATCAATCGTATTCACTTCATTAACAACTTTGTAAACAGTCATAAGATTGCGAAATTAGGTTAAAATAATGATTAAATATTTAATTATAAATTTTAATTATAAGTACATTTTATTAATACAAAAAAGAATTTTTATAAATTTTATTTTATTTATTATTATTTAAAATTGAAGGATTTTGAACGATATACATAGTGGTAAAATAAAATTTATCATAGTAAATTGTTTCGCGAAGTGTAATTAATCAATAATCAATGAATTTTTTTATTTTATGTAAAAAAATTAAATAAAAAAAAATGCTGTTTATAGTTTCTCGTAAATATATTAATTTTAAATATTTTTTAATTTTTAATAAATTTTTACTTATATTTTTTTCGAAATTATAAGTTATGAAAAAATAAATAAATAAATCTGAGAAAAAACTTTATGGCTGTTGAGTAGTTCTCTTTTAAAATAAAAAATCTACAAAAAAAAAATATACCTATACTTTTTTTTTTTTAAATAATAATAAAAAAAAAAACTGTGTATCTTTTAATCGCCTGGCCTGGTTTAAATGATCAAACCCTTTTAGAGTTGGAATTAATATCAGAATTCAGATCAATTATTTTTATAAATTAGTTAAATCTTAAAACCCGTCCTGATTTGCTTAGTTATTAAGTAAAAATGTATGCGAAAAAAAGTGAGTCAGATTTTTTTTAATAAAAATATTATTTTACATTATATATATTTTTGTTTTTTTTTTAAAAAAAAACAAACAAACTACAATATATTTCAATTTTAAAAAAATAATTTTTATTATTATCTTTAGGCGGGTAAATTCCAGAGTCTATTTGTGAATAAATGATTTTGAATTATTTTGTATAGAATCATTGGTGTGATATTTCTTGTTCATCTGATAGTGATGTCACTGTAGAATTAATATCAATGGGAATCAGGTTCACATTAATAATTGTCTCTAAAGTTAGTTTAGATTCAATATTATGATCTTTTATGGTTGTTGTCGTGGCAGTGGTAGTGATCATCACATTCATTCGTGATAAAGTTTGTCGACCTCTTCTAAGTCTTCTAGTGGTGGAAGTCAGAGATCAAGTAGCTCTTTCGTTACTCTGATTAGGACTAGTATTTGACCACAGCAAGTTAAACTATCTGTTATTGGTGTGATTTTGGTTCAAGATCATCGGGATCAATGAAATATCGTTAAGGTTGATAATATGCTTTTCTAGGGACGATTCTACACCTGAGGAAGCATCGAGAGTTTGTTGAACATAACTTATAGTACCAACTAAGAGAGCAGTTATTGATCTTGTGCTTTGGTTGATTGCGTTCATCTTGTTCGCGAGGTAGGCATTATTTGAGTCATGACGAACTTTTACCCAGTAGTTACAGGTTTTCTTTCTCCAAGCCGCTCTTTTACGTAGAAATCTAAAGTAGACTTACCATCAACATTCCTCATCACTTGCATCATTTTCCCATCACAATGATGTTTATTCCAGTTATTGGCATATTGTCGAAGTTGAAATAAACAACTTTCATGCAAGTTGCATTCACCTATTTAAAATGTAAGTATGTTTAAATATTAATTTTTTTTATACATTATACATTCGGATTATACAAAAGATCACAAAAACAAAAGTTTTATTACCGTGTACCAATTAGAACATCTGATAAATTTTCCCTTTAGGTAAACAGTATCGCCCACTTCAAAATCATCTATTTTATGATTTATTGTTTTGTCTATAGGGTAAAAGCCTTTATCTGTAAGTAGATCACCTTAGTAAGGTCTGTTTCATATATTTT